CCTAGTCAGAATTGGTTTGAGCAGGATAGGGGCATCATGGGGGCCTGGTAAGCCTGCACCAACCTTTGTTACGCGCCTGGCAGCCTCAAGCACAACATGAGATGAGAGTGACTCGGCTCGTCGGTTATTGAGCAAAGATAGCCAGTAGTTCGGTCACGTTGCACAATCATTTTCTGGAATTCAAGGTGCCACGGTATTCATGGTTTGGCAAATGTAATGGCAAGCCGATATTTACAATACCATGGCCCCCGTTACACCGCAGGTTTCTGGGTTTCTGATGAGCAGGAAAAAGAGAGATCAGCGCATTTGACGACAAACAACTGGACCACAAGCAGGTTGTTGTCCAGCTGGCTCACTACGATTTAAGTCCCATGCGTCTGAGATAGCCTCACCTCTTGTGGTGGTGTCACTGACAGCATTACGAGAAGCCAAATGCGATCGATGCCCGAGGTTCAGGGATGTCGGAACCGGTCTACTACGTACGCACGTCCCCTTTTACGCTTTTCGCTTTTCGCTTTGTCTTAGACATGAGCCTCATTGATCGTGCAGAATCGTGGGAATGGCAGCGAGAGGATGGCGTCGGTCAATGTCAATAACAGAATGAACCCAGGATAACTTGCTGCAAAGTACCTTGTGTACAAGCATGAAGCACCTAGGTGGCGCCTAAAGGCAACCATAGAAGCCCCCTAGGTCAGCACGTCCAGGCGCCACAAGGCCTTCATCATAGCCGAAACGCCCCCAGAACTCCCCTTCCCGAGTAGGTGATCAACGCTGCAACATCGTCACTTGACCACTTTCGCTCCCCTTTTCCGCCTGTTTTTGCCCTGTCTCGTCATGATCTCGATTCAATCGAGATGGCAATTCGAGAAATCCGGGTCCGACTTCCCACGCTTCCTCACTTGTCGCCCTAAACGCTTGCCCGACACTGTTGCCCAACCACCAACTTCCTTGCACGCCATAACCGGACGGCGATCGAAGTGCAACTTCCGGACATTTGATCGGCTGATTTCTACTCGTACCATTGCCAGCTCATCAGAATTAAGTCACTTGACCAGTTGAAGTATTCATGCTGTTGGCTGCGGACGTGACTGTCGCCTGCTTAAAGTCCCATTCTGCCTTGGGTGCTTGCCATGTCTCGAATACAGCCATTTAGACACTAGACCCGAATGCCAGCGACCCAGAACAACCGCATGTGGTCTCACTTGTTCGTCAGAGTACCGCGTGACGTCCCGAGCCAGAGCGTGCTTCCATTTCAGATGTCGCCTCTTACCGTGGCCATCCCTTGGTTTTGCAGCTGTCTTCGTTGTCGAACCAAACCCTGCGCCCAGATATTCTACTGTGTACCTACATAAGATTTCACAGCATGTAGCAACATAAGTGCTCGTGACCTCTACAAGGCTACGAGGCTGAGAGGCCGAAGCCCCGTTCACGTGATGTGGGGTGCAGCCTTGGCGTTAGTCGACGAGGCTGTTGCCTCATTCCCGCCACTTGCGTAGGTACATCATCATCACACACGTTCCTGATACTTCAATTCGTTTTGATAGTTATTCCAGGATAGATCAAATATTCGAAACCCCCAAATCCTCAGTAGTGGGTGATACCCAGCAACAACAGCTACTCCATCCGTGGCGTCGGACCTTGACAATATGTCCTCAACAGCGTCCACTTCGAACATTGAAGGAGCTGTGAGTCAACATATCCCGCCGCCACCAGAGCAGCCACCACGTACTACACTGAATCAAAGTCAAAAATCTTCGAGAGTATGCCGGTTCTACAATACTTCCAAAGGTGAGTTGTGCCCCCAATTGCATTGGAACATTGCTGCAAGCCGCTGAGACTGCCATGTTTTGGGCGTGGCGTCAATGCTGCGTTCTGTCGCCTGCAACATCGCTTTCAAGTCCTCCATTCCTAGCTCCTAACCAAGCACGCTTCTGGCCCGGGCTGTTCTTCCAGTACTAAGCCATTCTATTGTTTCATAGGTTGTCGTGCTGGGTCTCAATGCCCATATCGACATGTTCAGCCGAAGGATCAAACGCAGATTGCCGCCAACCCTTCAGATACGCCGTCGTCGTTCGAGAGTCAGACATTGCCTGAGCGACCTAAAGCAACCCTTTCGAAGCCCGTACCAAGCCAGAAGCCAACATCTCAACTCCAACAAACCAATCCGCGGGAGTTTCAGGTCGGCCAGCTCACAAAACGGTTTTCACCTACGCGCAAGGAGCTCGAGGGCTCTACTGTACTATCTCTTACGCTGAAGCCATCCGACCCTGACTTTCCTTTCGAGCTTGAGGGACTCCATTGTGACTTGACTATTCCAGTTGCATACCCTTCCAGCGGCAGGCCTTCAATTCGAGTTACCAATGAGGGAATGCCACGAGGCTATCAAATCAACGTCGAGAGAGGCTTTGACAGCCTTCTTGATCAGGCCCCCGGGAAGACCTTGTTAGCCCTCATGAATGATCTGGACAGAAATCTGGAAAGATTCTTGACTTCGGAAAAGGCACAAACCATAAAGATCATTTCCAATGCTGGGCAGAAGGAGAAGGCTCCCGAGTCTGCTCAAAGACTGCCTTTCAATCCCATACCAGTATCAGCTCCTCTATCACTAGCCCCTGAGACTCCGTCATGGACTTCGCAACAAAAGAGCGATGCTCAAGCGAAAAGGCAATCCGATCTTCGGCAATTGGAGGCGCGTATGGGACGTCTGCCAAATTTCTCCAAAAATGCAGATGGTACTCTGTTCACCATCCCCGTGCAGATCCCAAAACCAGGCAGACTTCCATCTGGTCTGCAACAGCTGAAGGAGGTCGCATTGGCTGTACCAAAGCTTTACAACCTCGAGCCATGTACTGTACAATTAAAAGGTGTCAGCGGCATTGAAGTCGAGAATATTCAAATGGCCTTTGAGAAATATGCTCGAGCACACCCTGCAACGACGCTGATGGCGCACATTAACCATCTGACCCAGAACATTCACTCCATGGCTTCCGAAGCAGCCGGGCAGACGGCGCCTCTGCCTGTTTTTCAAGCACCTCCAGAGAACACACAGTCTGACCGGGAGAAGGCTATTTTTGCTGATGCAGATGCAGGCTCTGAGGGCGAAGGCAAAGTTGTCGATCCTGACCGCCCTCATCTTAAGTTTATCACAAGACCCCCAGAATGGGATCAAGGCACAGACTCTGAGGGTGACTCCGACTCATCTTATGGATCAGATGATTACACAGAACCAGGCAGCGAAGAAGAAGAGGATCAAACCAGCGAAGGAGGTGCCGCTCTGCCTGCCTCATCAGCCCCTTCCGAAAAAGGCATTCATCTCTCCTTCCCAGGCTTGGAGCTATACAACGTTGAGCTCCTGACGCTTACCTCACTGTCCCTCTCGGTGAAATGTCTCCGCTGCAAAACTCCACTGGACATTCACAACGTCAAAGCAACTAATCCGGCTCAGTCGTCTACAGTGAGCACAAGAACCGAGTCCTGTTCAAAATGCACAACCCCTTTCACGATCTCATTCATCCCAAACCATTTGCACGCCAACACCATCCGGGCTGGCACTATTGACATCACAGGCTGCACCATCACCGACCTCCTTCCAAGCGTCTTCCAGCCGACGTGCTCTTCATGTTCCAGCACTTTCCCGACACCGCCTGGCATGATATCTGTTCGTGACGACAAACCAATCCAAGTCTGCCGCTCGTGCCACGCGAAGATGAGCTTCACCATTCCCGAGGTCAAATTCCTGCGCGTTTCTCACGATTCCGCAGCACTGCCTCTGCGCCGGCCGAAGAAGGAGAATCTGGGTATCTCTGCAGGGACGTCGTTACCTGACAACGGAACATGCCAGCATTACAGGCACAGCTATCGCTGGTTCCGCTTCGGGTGCTGTGGGCGGGTATATCAGTGCGATCGGTGCCATGATGCGGCCGAGTCTCATGTTAATGAGCATGCTGACCGCATGGTTTGTGGTTGGTGCAGCCGCGAGCAGCGGTTCAGGTCCGACGATTGTGGCATCTGTGGCAGGAGCGTCATCCGACGTCGGAAGGCGGCGGGTGGGTTCTGGGAAGGAGGTCAAGGAACACGAGAGAAGCGGTTGATGAGTAGAAAGGAGAAGCGGAAATATAAACGTCCACCGGGTTCGGTGCCGGGAAAGAAGGCGGGCGCTGGGAAGTGAGACTGCATTGAGGTTGCTACAATCACTAGTATGAATGAGCTGATCTATGAGGTTTTCGGCCAAGGCCTGTTGGGCTTCATGGGCTCGGTGGGGCTAGCCTCGTTTACCTTGGTGGTTTCGAATGGTAGTCCTCATGTGGACAAATGATGCAAGCCTCGCAATGCTTAGAGCTCTTCCATCGCATGGCTCTCGTATCGCTGAAGACCCATTAAGGGTCACGTCAATGAATCTCTCCATTGCCTCGGGGTAGTCACCTTGCTCCTGACTTTGCGCCTCGTTCGACATCTTCTCCAATTTAACATTTACAAATGGCGGTATCATTGTCAATGTGGGCCAGTCATGCCTTGACTGCTTGGTCAGTTTGAGCAGTGTTGGCGACGACCATTCACATGATGTGAACAGTGTGCATCCACGATGTCGAAGCCGGACTATACATGTCATCTTCTGTCGTTGTCTTCTTTGTCCCCGTTCTCGTTTCTCACGGTAGCCTGCATCTTCCCGTCCTCCACCCTGGGTTTCCCCAGCCAGATCCAGTGTGCCATGCATGTTCCCGTTACGTCGTCGTCGGCTAGCCGTGCTTGCTTGCTGTCTGATACGTGTGATACCCTCGTTGTTCTAGCTGTATCATGCGTCTGCGCCGGACACATCTCTCTTCCTTTGCTCGACCTTGGTTTCCGCTTCACCCACGGACACAGCCTCAGCTCTAATATCCCATGGGCCCGGCGCGGACCCGCTGTCGTTCTCCTTCCCCCTGGCTCTCAGTTCAAATATCCGTCACGCGGAAAATTGGGCATGAAGCTTCTCTCTCTTGTCGTCGATGTTGCACCTCAAGGCCGGTGTAGTGCAGTGGTGAGCACGTTTCGTTGTGGTCAAGCCATCTTCTCCATCAAATCTATGGTTTGGAAAGGACGGCTTCAAGGCAGTAACCGAAGAGACCTCAGTTCGAATCTGAGCACCGGCATTTGTTGTATCGCGCAGTACCACATTCTTGTTTCTTCTTCTTTTTTGGCCTCGTCGCTTCGCGGGATGATGTTTGGGATCCTTTGTTGCTACTGCTGCTTCTGTTGCTCTGTTGCTCTGCTCTACTGCCACTATGCATTGCCCATAGCGGTATCACCTGGTGGTGCCACTGCTGCTTCTGTTGCTGCTTTTGCTGCTGCTGCGTCAATATAAACAGCAGGGCCAGCCGACAAGTGTGCCTCGAAGGCGGTCTCGTCCCCTCAGGTGTCATAGGGGCTTGGGTGCGTTCGCTGTGGACAACCCCCGTTGAGATTGCACCTAGTGGCGCGCTGCGTGTAGCCGTTTTCGGTTCAGTTGGGCATGATGGTCGTCAGGAGCTCAAGGGTTCGTGGAATAGACCGCAGGAGGAGATCCGGGGCATTTAATGAGCGGTGGAATACAGAGCTTCATGCCATATATTGACTTGATTGGAGTGATCATAGTGGTCGCCAGGGACTCAATATAGGCTTCGAGGCGTGCTTGGGAGTCGGGGTTTGATGAGACGATGGATACACAAGGCAGACCTCTTGTTGACATGGTGGACTGGTCATGGCGGTCGCATTTGAGCCTTACAGGCTGACATGGACACGGCGTTAGTCAGGGCGTCATCATGCGTCAATGTCAATGTTGTCATTTACCTGAGATACTCGATTTCACGATGGCGCTCTTGTCCTTGTCGTCTTGATGCAAGGCTGCGCAAGGCTGGCGCTCTTACTTTGTTTGGATTATGACGCGCAGCCAATAAGAATGCCATTTTCAAATTCGCGGGCCACGGTTACATAAACAGGAACAGATACAGAAACAATTGGTTTTTTGGATGTTTCATTTGAAAGCAAGGTATCTCAGCTTTCTGCAGCATCCAGCTGCGCGACACGCATGGAGACTCAGATATCTGCGTCGCAGTAGTAATCAAACACCCACTCCTCCCTGGCCCATCCTTCGCAGGATGATTGCGGCCTCCCTCCCTCCCTCCCTCCCTCCATGCCCCAGGCCCATCCTCACCAGGATGATTGCAGCCTTCCTCCCTCCGTCCCCAGCCCATCCTTCGCAGGATGATTACAGCCTTCCTCCCTCCCTTCCCAGGCCCATCCTTCGCAGGATGATTACGGCCTTCCTCCCTCCACCCAGGCCCATCCTTTAAGAGGATGATTGCAGCCTTCTCCCTCACCCCCCTATGAGGCAGCCGCCTCGAAGGCAGGGACCTCTTGCTAAGTTCGCCCTCAAGGACTCACCTGGTTGTTCGGCTATACAGCCTACTGATCCCAGGGTCACCTATATTGAAGCTCACCCAACGAAGAAAACCCCTTCCCCGTCGACGACCCCTCCCTCCCTCCACCCCCTATGAGGCAGCCACCTCGAGAGGAAGGACCTCTTGCTAAGTTCGCCCTCAAGGACTCGCCTGGTTGTTCGGCTATACAGCCTACTGATCCCAGGGTCACCTATATTGAAGCTCACCCAACGAAGAAAACCCTTCCACCGTCGGCGACCCCTCCCCTAGGCCCATCCTCGCCGGGATGATTTCAGCCTCTTCCCCCATGCCCTCCACCGAGGCCCATCCTCAAGGCTCATCCTCTACAGGATGATTACAGCCTGTCCCTCTCTTCACCGAGGCCCATCCTCTCCAGGATGCTTCCAGCCTCTCACCCTCCACCTCCGAGGCCCGTCACACGAGGACGATTACAGCCTCATCCCTCCCCCCACCCTCCATCCATGGACCTCCTGACTTTACTCCGACAGCACCAGAGGCCCGTCCACTACTGGACGTTTACAGCCAACTGGTGCGTCAGGAGAAAGTGCCTCGTAAGCGAGGTCTTGTGCTTGATGCCCCTGTGATTGTTGCACAGGAGGCATACCCAGTCCAGGTTGCCCGGGGAACCCGGGGTGTGCCTGTACTGGGCATTGGCAGCACCAGGAGGAGGAGGAGCGGCGGCGGCGGCAGGGACGGCAGGGGCAGCAGCAGCAACGGGGGCGACATTGACGGCCGGGGTGTCCGGCATATCTTCGTCCTCGTCCTCCTCTTCTTCCTCGTCGTCTTCCTCGTCAGACGAGGAAGATTCCGAGGAATCGGAGGAGTCGGAGGAGTCAGAGCTCTCCTCCCCGCCATCGATGGCAGCTCGGAGGTCCAGGATCCCGCGGTGCACCGCAGTGACGCGGGCAACCGCCTCGTCAATGTCGCCCTGCGACCCGGCCTCTGCTAACAGAGTGCCAGCCCTCCGACAACCAGCGAGAGCAGCTTCCAGCGTCCTACGACGCGTGGCAGCCGTGCTGACCGTCGTGTTGATGAGGGTTTGAGGGATGACTGGCCGTGCAGGCACGGAGTTGATTGCGTCATCCCTCAACGTCGCAAGCTCCCGCCACATTCTATCGTACAACGCCTTGTCGATTGTCAACGAGGCCGCCAGCATCATCAGGTTGCATTGCTGCACCTGATTGCAGCCGACGGAACCCGCGATGCCAGCAAGGAGTCCCCCCTCAAAGAGGTAGACTCGTACCAAGGGCTCAAGCCCCTGGTACTGCCGGTAGGCGGACGTGATGTGTGCTGCCCCTGTCCAGTAGGCGTCCCGCGCCCATCTCAAGTCGATGGTGTCGTGGGAGAGGATCTCGTTGAGAGTGGCAGGGATGGACGCGGCGACCGCGTCGTGGACAGTGCCGTAGTGAGTGGCCATGTCGAGATGGTGAGGGATGTCTGAGCGAACGCGGAGGAAGAGGTGATCGAGGATGACTCTGTCTGGGACTACGAGTCTGCTTGCGGGTATTGTGAATGTTAATGGCGCGTTGAGGAAGAGGAATTGTGTGTTTGTGTTTGTGTTGAGGTAAATTTGTATTGTGAGAGGAGCGTCAACGTCTGCAATTGAAAATGGTTCTCCAGTGAGGACAGGACTGCCATCTGCGCGAACAATTGAATGATATGCGTCCACTGCTCGGGCGGTGTCCTCGGGGAGTGCGGCAGGCTGAGCGGCATCGAGGGAAAGGTCGGTGAAGAGGTCATCGAAGGACGCGTAAGCCTGTTCAGATATCTGGAGGTCGGCAGACATGGTGGTGAAGTGAAGTGAAGTGAATGTGAGAGTATTGCGTTGAGAATCGAGCTTGGCGGGGGAAGTCGAAGACACCGCGTAAGAGAAAATTTCACTGGTGTGGCAGAATGTGAGTCGAAAGGTTTGTGATCAAGGATGACAGAGTCGATGTGATGTTGAAATGCTCACAAGTCAGGATGGATGATGTCTGTTCACTGAGGATCTGTGTCTGAAGACAAGGAACAATCTGTGGTGTTGAAGATGTTTGAAGAATGACTGTTCTTGTTTCACGGAAGAAAAAGCGTGTGATCCTGAATGACTTTCTGTCGAACCTGAAGAGAGAGAAAACAAAAGGAATGATCGAGGTCTGCGGCAAGAGATATAACATTCTGGGAAAAGGCGAAGCGTTTGCGCCACAACGGCGACGAGGTACAGCAGGGCGTTGAAGCATCGAGATGCGTGGCCGCTGGCGAGCAAAAGACACTATGGCGAGTTGGTCCAGCGAAGCGTTGATACACGAACGGCGACTTACGGAAAGCTTTGTATTGAACGGATGCCATTATCACGACAGTTCGGTCGATGACCAGCATAGCTGACTACAGCAGGACAACAGACCGTTGTGAACGTGAACAGGAATCCCGACGACGAGACACAGCCTGCTGAGCAATATGGATATAGGAGAGTCAGCCTCACCATGGCAGCTTCTCCTCAGCACTCCAAACCCACCGATTCCCTGCATGACAAAGACTTGCCATAGCCCATATCCAGCAACTCCGAAAGCTGACGAGCGATCAAGGCATATGAAACGGAATAGCAGGAAGCTCAGCATCAAGCCAACTCTTCATCGCACACACCGGGGTAAGCCTTCGGACCATCAACTTGCAATCTCCAAGTCCAAGGAGAGGAAAAACACACCGTCAGCACTCCAAGTATACAAGCAGCCGGTTGGATGCAAAGAGGTCTCCAATCCAGGATGTTCGCAGTACCTGACGAGAGAGACGTCCATGAGCAACTCGAATGTAAGTCTAAGGGTACAGAAGATCATGGTGGAATTTGGCTCTACACAAAGAAGACTGTTGGCTGGAGTTCAACGTCTCTTCACAGTACTATCTCCCCAATCTTTATTTCCCACAACCTGGAGACGCAATGGGCTCGGGACAGCCGTTCACGGGGCGAGGATTTGGAAGAAGTCATAGTAACTGCGTCGCGATGGGAGGCATGCATGGCTTCGTGGAGAATTGCGGCTCCTGGAAGCTGCACGTTCCACTTTTCCACGGTGAATTTGCACGAAGTAGCAGTCCAATGGTACTCGCAAATGGATGAAAGCAAAATTGAGCAATGAGCAGGATACAGACACCTGTTTGTGAAACTGTTCCCGTACTAACGTATCGTGTACTTACTCACGAGAGGTCTTCTTTCGAGATCGAGATCCGACAGCGGATGGAAATACCTGGCCATGCCATTGGCGGGACGATCAGAGTCACGACCAAAATCGGAATTATTTCCCACTCCCGTGCATTGACGAGGTTATCACGGTCATCCGGCTGCTCCTTTGTGGTTTGGACCGTTCTGACTTCGGCGGGCCTGCTGTCAAGCTTCGACTTTGTCCTCAGAACGGAAGTCTGATTGCCTTTCGCGGCAACTTGTTGCATTCCATCGACCAACATCCCCTGGAGAATACTTCCGCCCACTGTTCGACCTGGCTCTCCTGAACAACCTGGGAAACGGGACGTACCGGCTCTGCAGGGTTAGTGGTCGAATGGAGTGGCCTGATTGTCAGACGACGCCCGCAACCGTTGTGGGACTAAAGACGCAAGAGAAGTACTTGTACCTGGCATCGCCAGACTACTCGGTACTCGTTCGTTGCGCCTTCACCACCCTCGCCATCTCACCCAGACATCAATGATCTTGTCGGGCGCATCGCTGCTCGAGTCGACCACGAGATACC